GTTATATATATAAAATGTGTTGTGTTCACATTCTTTTCAAGGCCTGATAGTCACAAGTGGCTCAGGCGACTTGCGCCCTCATTGTTACACACGGGGTCATACATTGGGTCTTGGCGTTTGCTAACGTAAAGCTGCAAATACTACATGCTCTTGGCTTTAAATGACGCTTGTGCTTATGGAAGCCATGGAGAAAGATAATGAAAAAAATTGTTTTGATTTCTTGTGTCAAACCAGGGTCCGAGGTACTCCATGGAAAGACATCTTAATGAGAACACTAAGGAACACCTGGGTCTGATGTGTCATGTTGTCCGCCGCCAACAGAAACAAATCCACGACCTGCGGGCACAGCTGGACACTCTGTCGTTGAGCATGGATGGCACGCTGCTGTGGAAGATCACCGACTATGCCGCCCGCTTTGCCAAATCCAAATTGGAGGACGAATATGAGCTGCGGAGCCCTGTTTTCGCCACCAGCCGCAATGGCTACCGGCTGCAGGTCTCGGCCTTCCCAAATGGGAACGGATCCGGGGAGGGCACCCACCTGTCGGTGTACATCCGGACGGTCAGTGGGGAGAATGATGCCCTCCTGCGCTGGCCCTTCACCCACCCGATATCCTTCACTCTCCTAGACCAGGCTGAAGATGGCCAGAAACCATCCCACGTCAAGGAGTGCTTCACGCCGGACCCCACCTGGAAGAACTTCCAGAGGCCCAGCCGTGATGTCTACACGCTGGGCTACGGCTACCCGACGTTCGTCTCACACACCTTCCTCAAGACAAAACACTACATCAAGAACGACACGATGTTCATCAAGGTGGAGGTGGATTGCTCCAAGATCAACAACATCATCTGAACAAAAGCAACAGAGTCCAGTCACTGACTAAACCATCCCTGGTTGCTATGGCAACAGACAAAACCATGGCAATGATTGCCTGAAGTTTATACCACTGAAAATCTGCAGTGCTGTCTGATTTTTGTGTTTGGATGAACAATCATTCTGGAGGGAATGTCAGGAGCAGAGAAAGTTTGAACAACTGCTGGTACAAAAGGTTACCAAATTTTTACAGTCCCCAATTCTTCATCCAAGATACCTCACATTTAAAAAGAAATGAATCAAATGTACTCACTTTTGTTGAACATTTTTGTGCGTGCATGTACATACAAAAATTGAACAGATATCTTAGTGTTTTTTGTATTTGACAACTTTGTTTGTGGCCTCAAGACTTTTCAGACATTATGTACATGTACAAATATTTGTCAGTTTTCACTTGAAGAGAAAAAAAAGCTTAACATTTACTTTGTGTTTTCTTTCATATATATATGTATACAGAATACCACCTATACATGTAAGCTGCATTCTTCCATAAAGTTTAAGTGTAAATATTATTTTGTCTGTGGTTTATGATACAAAATGTAACTGATATCAAGTTCCAGGTTATTAATTGCCGGAGATGCAGAGGTTGTGATGCCAAAGCATCCTTACATGTACCTCTTGAGTCTCTCCAATTCTGAAGGGACTCAGAATGCAAGTACTGACCAAGATGTCCTTGTATGGCTTCTTGAGGGTGCCACACGCACCAATACACCAGAGCTGCGTATCGAGAGATTTTGTGACAACTTTGGAGTAGAAGCCATCTTGGTTCCAAAGTCTGCCACGTGCACCCCAATGGACATAAATGCATGCGCGAAACAATCAACAGTCCAACTTTGATCTGTTGCATAACATTTTTGTCATCAATTTGTGCAGCAGCAGGGTCAATAGCCTTCCATTTGGGAAACAAAATGGCTTCATACTCTGACCTCACGTCACAACTGTATGTAGTCAGCTAGAAACGAGCCAGTGGGAGTAGGGTCCAAGATGGACATGTAAAATTTGCCTACACTGTGTATTTTGGCCCCCAGAGATGGCACAAAGAATGGTGACCCCTGGGAACCAGTTTGACACATGGTGTTGGGAGGGGGGAGCAAGAGGGGACATTCCCCTCACCAGAAAAAGGGAGAGGGGGAGAAAAGATAACAGGGAAGAATAGATGAGGATGGAAATTGCCACTTTCCTTGAAAATGCCTCAGATCTAGAATTGACCTCCCTCCACCATTCAGTGTTGGTCAGCCTGCCACTAACATATGTTTTGTCCACTCTCTGATAGAGCCATATGGCCCTTCCTTGCAAAGCCCATGGTCAAGCCACATGGGTTGCATTGACCAAAGAGGGCACCGTTAAACTTGAAGCTGCCAGAAAAATATTTTCAGTTAAACATCCAATTCCTTCATCTCCTAGCTATCGCTGATGTAGTATGAGTGCCCAGTTTCTCTAACAACAAGATGGAAGTGACTCTGGGTATTCGTACGATATTTTGTCCATCATCAAACAGGAAGTTAAATGTGAGAAGTCAGAATCAGTATTAACCACCGATGCACTTTTGTAATTTCAAGCTTATTTTTTTCAGCACTTTAAAGAAGAAAAAAAAAACACCACTGAAATTAAAAGACACTTAATATGTCCAGCTTTCCTCACGAAATTGTGTTTACACAGGTACATCGGGACGTTTGAGGAGTTATGCCAAAAGATTCAAGCTTACTGTGTGGGAAAATAACTATTAAGAGTATAAATGTGTATATTTGTAAATTTGATACAATGTATATTTATCACGACTTCCATAAATCAGTGTTAACATTGTAGATACATAATGTACTTTTCTTCGATTTCATTGTGAAAGAAGACAATTTCATTTTCACTTATACCGATATGATACGTAAGCCAGATGATGTTTATGTTACTTACATAGTATGGGCATTCCTTGGTTTTCGTACAGTTAAGGCAACCCGAAGAAAACACTTATTTTTCTTGCACAGTGAACACGTGCTTTAAGCTGGATTTTTGTCGATGGGTTTCCTTGACTGTTCCTCTTCATTTTGTGGCAGATTTCCCTGACTCCCCAGAAACCACTAAAACTGGGACAGAGAGAGGAGCTATTTTTGGACTGAGCTAAGTCCGTGCACAATTCACATAACCTCAATTGCAATGACCTCTTTTCGATCAGGTCCACCCAAGGTATGCAACTCACTTTAATACCTGGGTTACAGAGATGCCCAAGATAGACAGGCCCAGCTCACAACTGTGGTCAAATTGATTTCTTGCTTATACAAGGGTCTCCTATGTGCGTACAAAATAGAGGAGACAGATTCTGCAGTCGGAATTGTTTTTTACTTCTGTAGTATCTCATCCCATGGTGTGTATGAAAGAAAAGATCCAACTTTGGGCACTTGGATTTTCTTTGACAAGCGGGTTAGAAAAAAATATGGCAGAGTTGGGCCATTCTGGTTGGTTGCAGTGTAAGCCTGATGAACAGAATGCCACAAGAACACATTTTGAGCATTCTGTCAGATGATATATGATGCTCATTGTTGATGAGAGTTTTCTTTTCTCTATGGGTGCATTTTACGTTTTTCTGAAAGGAACCGAAGACCACCATTGCTCAAGAAAATACCAACTCTCCAATCAAGTTAATCAACCAACATTTGGTTACAAACACCATAATGCACCTCAGATTCTGTTTCTGTTGTGCTAGTGGAACGAAAACAAATGTACTCGTTAAAAGTGGAATCTATGCGACAGGAGTCAATGGTGACAGTAGTTTTTAACAGGCTGTGTGAAAGCTTAACATCTTCCAGTATAAAAGAATGTTGTTCTGAAAAATAAATTTGATTCATTGACTGGGTCGTCTAATTGTTCTTTTTTACTTGTTTTATTGAGGAGCTAATCATTCATAGTTTCAGCACGTAGCTACCACGGGATTAAGCTGAATTTACAGTTTTACATGTATGTGTAAACAAATACAGGACTGCAGAATCTTTAGGTTAAAGGCCAAAGGTCAACTCTAAACAAGGGTCATCTCAGTGGCTTTGACATGGGCGATTTCCTGATGGACTGCGTGATAGAACGAAGATTCACTGCATTTTCTGAAAGATGTTGGTGCTGGCGATGCATTCTGCGGAATCAACAGTCTGGATGGGTTTCACATCATGGACTGACTGGCATGGTCTCTTGTTTTGCCCCATTGGGAGCAATTGTTATTGTGGATAGTAACTGCTATGATTTCAGAGCATCTTTTTAAGCAGTTTGGAAATGGGGAAGGTAATAAAAAATAACTAGTGTACGAAGGTAAGTGCACCACAACCATTGTAAACAATGTACGTTGTGTAATATGTTTCCTCATCATTTCCACTTATCCACAAAAATGAGACATTAAAACAATCTCCGGCCTGACCTCCTCTGGAAAAAATTCCTGAATCTGCCCCTAAAAAGGGTTAATCTTGCACTTTGTTAAATACCGGTGAAGCTCTGAAATGAACAGTAAAAACTAACACAGGGCTAAAACTGTATCATTTGATAAATCTGAAGAAAATATGCATTTGTCCCCAACTGATAAAAAGCATCGAGAGGTTAACCTTGCATTTGTTTTTTAATTTGCTGGGGTCAAAATTGAATTTTCTCTAATCTGTGTGATATGATTCTGAAGTAATGATCAAAAACTAAAATGATTATTGCTAAAAGCAATCATTTAACCTGTTTGATTGTCTCAGAATCTTTTGAATTCCTCAGCCTTCTTCAATCTTTGAATTGAAAAACCACAAGGGTTTTAAGCCTTGTATGTTAATTCAATTTTGGTGACGAAAGTCAGCTTTCTTTTGTTCAGACGGACATCCATCAAGTGTAAGGGCCCAGTTACTATTGATGTTGTGCTCACAAGAGATTTGGGTATATGATGCATTTCCTCAAAATTTAATACAGGTTTCAGGTTTTGAGATTATCAGACAGGACAAATCACTAGTATTTTTGATGAGTATTTCTCTCCAATATTTTGGAGAAATTGACGAAAATTCTAATTTGGACCTAAGTGAATTTGAAATTTAAGGTTAACCCCCTGATGTTTTCAATTTTTCAGAAAAGAGAAAAGAACCCAGTACACATTTTCTAACGCAGTTCTTACTAAAAACCTGTGTTGAAAATGTGGAGTTTTCTCCAAACAATTGAAAGTTGCAAGCTCTTAACCTTGCATTTTAAAAATACTCCGGTCCAACTTTGATTATCTCCTGACAGTGTTGGAGTACTCGTACTTGAGTAAAACTCCAGTACATGTAAGGACGCAGCTCGTACTCAGCTATCAGTACTCAAAATATATTTGGACTTTGCCTGTACTCTGTTCTTTGCACTCGAATTTTGCGTGTACTCAAACGTCAAGGATACTCGGTGCTTGGCCCCAGTACTCCAGGGTATAATTCGAGTACAGCGCTTAATCTATTCCTCGCGAATGCATCGTAGTGCTGGGCATGGCGGCTTAACACATGCTGGGTACAAGGATTGATCTTTAAGGGTGCAGTCCACTAATTTAAGAGAGAATTTCTGGCCAGCTCATAAGCATTAAAAGTCCCCCCCCACAGTACCTTTTGAAAAGGAGATTGTATGGCCCCCAAAATGGTGAGATTGTGTGAAATTGCCAGAATCAACTCCCTGGGTCTGGGCTTTCATCCGAGAGCAGAGTGGCTAAAAAATACTCTTGAAAAATGGTTCCAAGTACCCGAGAAAGTTGAGAGTTGTCACTTGAAAATGGCTGTAAGCAGACTTTGGAAAAATCACTTTTTTGGGGGACTTTTGTTTTGAGTTGATAACTCAAAATGTAATTGGTTAACCCACAGAAAATTGAAAAGAAAGTGAAAGATTATGGACCATACAATAATTTAACGTGTGTTTCAGATGCCTCAGGGATGTTGGTACGCATATTCAGTATCGAGTATGGTGTTCCATATGTGGCAGTCGCATTTTTCAACGTGCGTCGCATTTTTCAACGGGCGTCGCATTTTTCGACGGGCGTCGCTTTTTCGACCGGCGTCGCATTTTTCAACCGGCGTCACATTTTTCAACGGGCGTCGCATTTTTCGACGGGCGTCGCTTTTTCGACCGGCGTCGCATTTTTCAACCGGCGTCACATTTTTCAACGGGCGTCG